CCGGCCAGGACTAGCCAGAGCCCCACAGCAGAGGAGTCCGGGGCAGGAGAGATGCAGAGTGTTGGCGAACACCCGCTGGCTCAGGGGCTTTGCTCCTTCGATTCTCATGTGTTCTCTGACATAGCAGTGTGATAGCCTGTTTTTTTACACTTTTCCTGCGTTCTCATGTGTAAATTTGGGTTCTGGGTTAAGTTTTACACCTGCTGCAACTGAAGTGAGATTAGCCACCCGCTGCAGTGCAGACATGCAAGAGCCTTCAGAATTTTGCAAAACCGTTTTAGATGGATTTGTGTTTTTGCTTAAGGATGCAGGTTAAGTGTACTAAGTGTGCACTAAGTGGAGAACGAGCCAGCAGAGCTTATACTGCCACTACTCTCAAGGAAATGGCTTTATTTTTATTTCTTTGAGATGGGAATCCAATGTATAAATCAGGCCTTGATCTTGTTGACTGAGGGATTGAGGATGGGACAGCTCCATTCAGTTAAAATGGGCGTTTCCAGTGGCCAGGATTGATCCAATCTTAATTTTCCTGAGTTTGATGCTGTGCTTTGAATTAGTTTGTTGGGAAGTACTGCTGTAACTGATCACTGAATTAAAACTTGTTTTCCCGTGGGTTTCTCTTTTGGTATTCCTTTCTCACGGGAGCTTCTTGAGAACAGTGTTGCCTGTTGCACAACTCTTTCTGCCCTGCAAACGTTTGCTTGGAGAAAGGCATTTCCTACCTGGCATCACAGAGTATGTTTTTCTTTGGTTTTATAATCTGCAGCTCTAAAAAGACTCTATTGATGGGGGCAAGGTATGCAAGACAATAATTGTCTTTGTGGAACCTTGTCACATTTTCTTAGAATGTTAATTTAGAGAGCAGCCCTAAGCTAAGACCTTGAGTCTGTGACACTTTTTAGAGAAGGTGGCTGGGCTCATTAATCCTTTGATTGAAGTCTTTTTTTTTTTAAAAAATCATCTATCGGGTACATACTATACAGATGGGGGTGGTGAATACACTTAAAGCCCCTATCAACAGCTATTGAAATTTTTAGAAACATTTTTAGAAAAGAAGTCTGTATTAAAATATCTTGTAGTTCGACTAATTGAAGATTGTCCTGTAAAATGAAGGGAAATAACATATCCTCTGGTCAAAATTACAGTGGTGCTGCATGGTGGCATAGCGCCCTACAGTGTTCCGCAGAGTTCATGTGCAGCCACCCACTTCACCGTGCCATGGCCTTTCTAGGCAGGCAGGGCTTTCCCTGGGAGCTGGACTGCCATGCTGGGGAGCGCCTTGTCTCTCCTCTCTGGTTAGCTGCATGGCTTCTGCCTTCTAGATGCAGGAAACAGAGGCCGCTACCGGCAAAACCGATGGAAAGGCAGGAAGCAGGTCCAAGCGTCGGTGAGTTCATTTGTCCTTTCCTCCCTTCACATGTCCGTTCATTTGTTCACTGCCTATTCATTAAGCAAATGGTTGTCAAGCACATGCTTCAGCCATGTGTCTCCCATACGAGGCCATGCGGTGTCATGTTTCAAAGTAGGATGCACACTCCTCATCAACAAGGGCACCTGCATAATGAACATTTGTATGCCTAACCCCAAATTGTACCCCCCATCTTTAAAATAAAAAATATAAAAGTTAAAAAAATCAGAATGCGGAACAGGAAAGCCACCATTTAAATGCTTGTCTAGGCTACCCATTTTAAGTTTTGTCTCAGTGTTTTAATCTAGTCAGGAAAATTATGTAGTCATCCTGTGCGCTTATGTGGTATAGCAGTGCTCTGTTTTCTTTCTAACTTTGAAAAACAAACAAAACAGAAACAGAATTGCCTGCCAATTGCATCTGGTGCCAGCCTGGATCAGCGACAGCCCCCTGACTCCCAGACACATGAGTGAGCCCAGCCAAAATCAACAGCGCCTTCTGGCTGGTCATCCCTCTTATACAAAGACTTAATGGCAGTCCTGAAATCGCCACAGCTCGCCATTTTCCCTCTGTTGAAGGGCCTCTGGCAGCCACGCTTCAGGAGGTGCGATCAAATCAGGCTTTCAGAAGTTCCGGTTGAACTCTGTGGAGCAGCTGCAAAGAACAGATTCCAAACCAGGAGATCCTCAGTGCAGACTCCTGCTCTGCCCCTGCCTGACAGGGCACACCTTGAACAAGTTTCTTCATCTTTCTTAATCTCCGTTTTTCATCAGCAAAATAGGGATACTTGTAGCATCTACCTAATCAAAGGTGACAACGTCTGTTAAGCACCCCTCCGATGCTTGGCATCTGGCAAATACCCAGTCGTGTTGGCTGGAGCCGTGTTCACGAGTCAGGCGTTTTGCCCGGTGCCGGGCTTCAGGGATGAACATGGATCCTACCTGCAGAGAATCTTTATCCATCGAGGTAGAACCCTTATGCAAATATCGATGCAAATGTGATTGCAGCTCTGGCGAGTGCTGGAAAGGAGAAGACACTGTGCTGGGGTGATGAGCAAGGCACAAGGCTTCATCCTGGACTCAGGAAGCTTCCCTGGATGAAAGGTGGGGTCCTTGCCCGGCGGGAAGGAGGAGGTCCAAGCTGATGGCTTAGTGCGTGATGGAAGTGACTTTTCAAACAGCTTAGGGAAGGGTGGCTTGTTGGTTAAATAATGCTGGGGTAATAAAGGGTTGGCCTTTGCGAGAAAATTCCAGGTTAGGTTTCCTGTGTTGTCCTAATATTTCTGAACATCAAAAGATACTGTAAACAAAACACAAGTAAATGATGCCTTGGGAAAACTGTCTGTAAAAGTGACCACATGGCTGATATCCTTAAAATATAAAGAACGCTCATTAATCAGTAAGAAAAAAGTATTCATGTAATCTCTGTGAGGGTGGGGACCTTCTCTGCCCCTTTCTGCATTGTATCCCTGGCATCTAGCTTAGTTTCTGAAAGCATTGGTGAGTAAACCATTCAATCATGATAGAAATACTGGGCAAAGTACCTAGTCAGGTAGTTGACTAAAACAAAGCAAAGAAAAACAAACACAGATGGCTAATTCCCATGTGAAAATGTGAAATAGGAAAAAATGCTAATGAGGCCGGGCATGGTGACTCACACCTGTAATCCCAGCACTTTGGGAAGCCGAGGTGGGAGATTCACATGAGCCCATGAGTTCAAGACCAGCCTAGGCAATAGCGAGACCTTCTCTCTGCAGTAAATCAACAAATTAGCCAAGCGTGGTGGCACACACCTATAATTCCATCTACTAGGAATGCTGAGGCAGAAGGATTGCCTGAGCCCAGGAGGCCAAACTGCAGGGACCTGGAGTGCACTCCAACCTGGGTGACAGAGTAAGACCCCAACTCAGAAAAAATGCAAATGAAAGGGTCATTGGACTATCACTTTCAGTTATCAAATTGGCACATTTTGGAAACAGTGAGGCTTGTTTACTGCTGATGTCTACCATTCTTGAGTAATCTGGCAGTTTGTCTTCTGAGTCAAAAACATTTATTTTGACCCAGCAATTCTATTTGTAGGAATTTGTCCTGCAGATATAATCAAAGATCTTGCAGAGATACTCATGCTATATTATTAAATAAACTGGCTATAGAATAGTGGGTTGGCATAATCCCATTTTTAAAAATGTATATGCCCACATATTCCACACCTAGAGAAAAGATGGAAAGGTTTATATGAAAACAACATTAATAATATTTATGGGTGGTCTATAAACAATTTTGCTGTCTTATTTATTTACCTTTTCTAGTTTTTCTTTAATGAACATGCTTAGCTTGTGGAACTTTTTTAAAAAAGATTATTTTTTCAAGAGTGAGTTTACCTAGTTGATGGAAAATATGAAACTGGTATTAGGTAGGGATATAAGTTCAGTCCAAACCTTTTTAGAAAGGCAACTTGCCATTATGTAAAAAGTTATAAAATTATGCAGCTCCTTTGATTCAATAATTTTGTGTCTGGAAACTGGAATGACATGTATCATCTCCAGGTAACAGGTTGGAGGCTCATTTGGTGGGGTGTGTGTGGGTGTGTGTGTGTTTTCTCCTAGTTTTCAGAAAAGAATGTGCAGTAAAGAATAAATGCAGTAAAAGAAGTGAAGAACTTTTTATAGGTTTCTGTGCTTATCATTTTCTGTCAAGGCATAAGCCGCAAAGCTGCCAACAACAAGTGTACACTCCTTGCTACCCACACTTGGGCAAACCACAGGCACTTGTACCTCTCATTCTATGTGGAGAAATATTAGCAATACATTAAAGGCATGGAGGTGGGCGCACATGCAGAAAGTTCCCTTATGCCCCGGGACATTTAAGTAGCCATCTGGGGCCACTTAAAAAAATATTCTAGAACATTTTAAAGTCAGAGTCTTATATAAAATGGCAGATTGGCTATGCTGAGTACCTGTCAGTATGTCTCTGCCTTGAATGCTGGGGCATGATCCATGGGTCTGGGAATTTCATGCATGAGCACATAGCCATCCTGCAAGGCAATGAAGCTGGTATTTAATAAACCATTTTTATTTTAGTTACTCCTCTTTCTCCTCCTCCTCCTCCTCCTCATGACTTTTAGTGAAACTCTGTTACATAGTTTGATCGTCTTATGTATTAGACCCTATCTCTGAATGACCTCTGGCTTAAAAAAAAAAATTAAATGCACCTTGGTGTCCAAATATCTTCCACCAATTAGTGCAATTAAACCTACATTCAGACAGTGCTTAACACCTCCAGATGGATTCCAGAGAGGAGTCCCAAAACAGGTTTGGGCAATTAATCACTGGGGGATAGTTCTCAGTGTGTCTGATTTTTTTTTTTTTTTCCCTCATCATCTTTATTCAAGGTCATTTTCTTCACTCTGAATTTCCACAGAGTGTGTCTGACTTGAAGGACCCTCTTCCCCTGCTGTGGAATCAGACAGACCTTTACCATCACTTCGTGTACAGGGACTAAGTGTGTAGATGCCAGCCTGCTTGGTGTACCTGTCCTAACAGGGGCTGTTTAACTCACTACTACATGTAATTGGTGTATTTGTTTTTACACAGATAATCGCTTATCAGCCGTATGGAAAATCTGTGGACTGGTGGGCTTATGGTGTCCTGTTATACGAAATGCTGGCTGGACAGGTAATATTTTGCTACGTTTTCATGTTTTTTTTGTGCTTTGTTTGGGCACTGGAAGCAGACCCTGTTTGAGGATGATGGCTGATGTTGGTCTGACTTCCCTGACCTGGGTGAGAGGGGAAAGCTCCCCTTGAAAAGTGGATTACATTCGGTATGCACAGAAGTTATGTTGTGGTCATGGAAGCTCTAAATCGAAAGCTACAGCCTGATGTGTGGAAAATGTAGCTTTCACATTATGAGCAGAAGCCCCCGTGCATGGGGGACAGCAGTGGCCGCTGTAAGTTTCCAGTGTCTCAGAACTGGGATTGGGTTATGGTTCCCCACAAATGTGTCTGCAAAGATTGCCCCAGCTGCTGCCCAAGTGTGCAATGGGTGCTATTATTTAAGGAAGAAGACAGCTAAACTTGAAGAAGTGTTTTAATAGCTTCTCTCTATCTCCTCCTGCCTCACCCTTGGCAATTCAATATAATTTTCACAGAAGTCCAGTGAGGCTGACGTTCCGGTTAAGAAAAGTAAATTAAATTTCTCTTAGGATGTAACATACATCAAATGACCAAGGGCAATATTGCCTAACATGGCACTTTATGTTATAACGGCCTTAATATCTCTGTCATCAAGGTAAGTTACACTGGCAGCTTTAACAAACAACCCCAACATATAACAGGTTTATTTCACAGTCTTGGTACAGTCCTGGGGGGGAGCGGGGCACTGACCCACACAGTCACCCAGGGCCCCAGGTTTCTCCATCCGTCAGCACTACCGTCTTTTAGAATCTCAGACTCTCCACTGATTTCTCCTTATTTTGGCTGACCAGTGAAGAGAGCGATGAGGACAGTCGCACAGGATGTATTGGGGCCAGACCTGGGGGTAGCAGGCATCACCTCTGCCTATATTTCCTCTGACAGCATGATCCCAGTTAGACACAGAGTGCAGGACATATAGCATGTGTGAGAGCTCTTTGGGGGGACACAGGCTTGGGGAACAGCTAGCAGGTCTTTGCTGTGAGATGCATAGCGTTCTGCTGTGGGCCCCTGTTTCAGAGTCTCAGTACTCAAATCTAATACCAAGGAATTTGACTCTCCACAGCCGAAGCCTCAGTAAGAGGCAGCAGAAAAAAATGCCCATGTGCTGCAGCAGAGCTGTCCTCAAAGAAATCTTTGCTTCTGGGGGAAACAGTCACCCCTTTCAACATGTTTTACCCATGGACTCATTCATTTGTTCAGTCAACACATATTTATTTATGGAATGTTTACTGTGCACACAGTGATAAGAGTGAACAAAGCAGACAGAAATCCGTACCTTAGGAGAGACAATACACAAGTTAGAAAAGGAGAAGATGTAATATGTCAGAGAGATATGCTAAGAAGAAAAGTAATGCAGCAGGAAAGAAGACTGCGGTGGGGAAGGGATGACCTCTTAGCTAGGACTGCTGGGGAGGGGCTCACGTAGAAGAGAAGGCTGAGTCCGTTAAGACGAGAGAGGGAGTGTCTGTCTAGAGAGAGAGCATTCCAGGAAGAGGGGTCAGCAAGTGCCAAGGCCCTGAGTGAGAGAGTGCAGCCAGGCTTAAGAAATGGAGTGGAAGCAGCCAGCATGACTGGAGCAGAGGAAGCGCGAGAGGGAGGGAGTCGAGGCCTGAGGTCAGAGAGGAAGAGACTCCGGGTCCTGTGGCTGTGGGTCACTGTGAGCCCGCTGGCTTTCCCTCAGGTGGGCAGCCGTGGAAGAACTCTCCCTTATGTCTTTTTCATTATCTCTTATGTTTCCTGGACGCTCAAATGGTGGTTTAGGCATGGAAAGATACACCATGTTGGCCTGCATCTGATCCCTATTTCTCAATGTTGTTGGCTTGATTGACATCATAAGACTGGTTTGTTTATTATTTGCTAGGCCACACTCCCAGCGGGCCTGCAGAATGTTAGGTCAGGCCTGCTGGGGGGTGGGTGTGTCTGGTGTGCCATCTGGTGCCTGCCAGAAAGATGTAAAGAATGGCACAGAAGTTAGATTAGTAAATATAGTTTATTTAGAAAGTAAATTGGAGAGAGAGAGAGAAAGAGGAGATTTACCTCCCCAAGGGAGGGGAGGGGTCCAAAGCTTAAGAAAATATGGCCTGGCCATAGCTCAAAGAGCACATGACCACACCATAGCTTAGCAAGGCAGTGGCCTCTGATTGCTGGTGGTTGAGTCCTTTTAACCTTTCCCTTTGATGGGGGAAGGTCATAAGGTGATTGGGTGGGGGTCTGCTCCACATCATCGCAAAGGGGCAGGTGAGCGCAGGTACTGATGTCAGGTGATGGACAGCAGGCAGGTGGGTGGGTTAGCCACATGATTGCCACCATGGTGGTGGGGTCTGTCTGTGTCGTGAAGGTCATGAAGGGCTGATTAGGTTAACTCTTACAGGTAGAGACAAATACTTGAAATAGAAAAACTGATTGATACAAAACAATCTGGGGAAGGGGTTGCAAAGCAGTTATCAATAGCTACCTCTGTGAAATGGGCTCTGTCCTTGGCTAGTGATCAGAGATTAAGTGAACTGCTAGAAAAATGTAAGATTTACCCAATGTTAAAATGGCTGCTCATTGGGGGTATTAAATCCATAATGTGTCCTTTCATAGTTTATTTGGCTTCCTCCCTCCAGTCACAGGGTTCTTAGGCCAAATTCCTCAGTTTGTAAACACAGAAAGGCAGGTTATTCACAACACTGTCAGTGAGGCAGCAGCTGGGGAATACAGGTTGCCTGCACCTCAAGTTAATTTCCCCTTTTGAGTTTTTGACAATAAAATTCGCCTCTGAGCACCCAGCCCCCTGGGAGCCGTGCTGCTCGCTAAGGCCCCAAAGGCCAAGTTCCCCTCCTCCATCCCACTCCAGTGTTCAACTCTTGAGTCCAGAAAACAAGCCTTGCTTTCAGTGAGAGTCACATTTGCATATGCCAACAAGAGAGCAGAAATACGGTCGGGTCCACTTCCATGGGTCTTTACAAGAAGTGACAGGACTCTTCCTTGGCCAGCAGGAGACCAGAATTTCAAGCCCAGGCCTGTAGGAAAGTCCTCCCTCCTTCCTGGTGGCTGGCTTCCCTCTTCTCCAAGCCTTCTGGGGCTTCCTCCCCTAGGGGGAGCTCAGGGAGGTCTCCTTCTGGGAGCATTTTATTTTATTTTATTTTTTTGGTTGGAGTCTCACTCTGTTGCCCAGACTGGAGTGCAGTGGCTGCTCCCGGCCACCGCAGCCTCGACCTGCTGGGCTCTGGCGATCCATCCG